AACCTATGTTACAATAAACTGTAGGGGCTCCTAACACCCATAGTGTATAAAATAAACCTCGTTATTTAGGTTTTTTTTTTAGTGTTTCTTCAAACTTGAAAAGATTTTGAATCAAAATTATTAATTGCATCAATATATTTAGGCTTTATTAAAAATTAGTGCAGCAACACACGTTAAGAAATTTAATAGTTTGATGGACTATTTTAATTATCAGTAATATGTTGATAATATTTGCTTACACGTGATGATAGCGGTACTGATTAGTTATTGTTGTGGTAATAGTAGTTGGCGTTGATTTATTGTAAACGATGACAACTAATGATTGTGGGTCAGGATGGTGGCAAATGGTGGCAGTAGTTAATAATATAAGACGATGGTTGTAGCGATGAATGAATAGAATGAGTGAATCGTCATCTTTGTTGGAACCTTCGAATAAACATCTTAACGATATTAATATTTTGTTATAGATCTTAATTATTAACATATATCCAAACTAATTAAGTGGTTGGAACATAAAAAAAAAATGCATACAGTTATTAAAATCTTTTTTTTGGTAAAGCGTACAATTTTATCATAACACGCAAAAAGAAATAAAACCTAATTAAAGAGAATTTAGAGTTCCTTAACCACCTTCTGGGAAGGGTTTCTTAGACCACTAGATCCCCAGAACAAAACACAAACTAATTACAAAGCAACTGTATCAAACTATGACATTTATGTGCTTTCTTTGACCTTGTAACATGTCTGTCCTTTCTCTCAATTAATTTTATATCAGTAACAAATTTAGTATTTACATTTTGTTGTTTCTAGCAATTCATGTGTTATAAATCAATGTTCACCAGGTTGATGCGATCATTTCCTTTTGAAATTGGTTCCTTCTTTTCCTTTTAATCCGTTTAATTGTTTCATAAACTCCTCTACGTGGTAATTGAACCCCTATCCATGTCAAGAAGAACAGACTTAATAATTGTGAGACACCTAATATGCACCATTATGTGTGAGAATATGTTCGACTTATCAAAATTAGCAATTAACCATATCACTTGACTAAAGTGGTCTAGTGCCTCCATCACTTTAGTAACTGAACTTATATCAAATCATAAGGTCATCAGCAAAGATTAAGTGAGTTAGTTTGGTCACCTTACACATGGAATGAAATTTGAAATCAGGTAAATCACTCATTCTCCTAAAAATCCTTGACAAATACTCCATTAACTTTGACAGAGAAGTAGGTTGTAGTAACACAGGCCATGACCAACCTAATAAGCAATTCTGAAAAACCAAAGCCCCTCTGTCATAAATGAGGATTTTCGAAACTTATGATATTTCTTCCTCTTTAATTGTTGCAATTCAGTACCTATTGAAGCAATGTGTAACATCTTTTGTGCTTGTGCAGTGTTGCCCTTTCATGCTCCGACTCAACTAGGATGGTGTTCAAAAAAAAATTATCCAAGTGTTTTAACGTCTATTTAAGAATTTTCAATTACTTCACCACTTGGAACATATTGAACCTCTGAACCCATTCACAAGACTCTTCAAACTCCATCCACTAGTTCAAGGAATTGTGGACGTTTAGCCCATAAGTTGCAAAACTAAAAAGTCTGTTATGATCTGCTTCTACTTGCCTCCTTAGCTATTAATTTAAAGTTAATAATCAAATCCTGTTTTTTTTCTATAACGCTATTAAAAGTTAAATGGCATTTGGAAACACTAATTTATCTTATCCTCGGAGTTCTGTTTTGATATAAACATTTTCTAAATGATTTTGGAACATTACTCGTAGGAATAACCTATTTTTATATATTTTATATAAAAAGTAACAAAGGGAGATCCTATAAGAGAGCTTACAGAAAAGGCACTACATTTCAAATATAACTAACGATTGGCTAAGATAAACTCATTCTTATTCTTATTTCCTATTCCTCGCTATGAGAACTGACGCTTTCTAAGTCTCTATTAGGAGTGAAAGTCATTAGACCGCAAGGATAGGAGCTCCACCCCTACTTCAATTAAAGCTCCCACATTGAAACAAAAGCATTAGTCAAGACATAGCTCCCACTAAAGAACACTATTGACAATGTGGTCCAGGAGGCCCTCAAAAAAGCGGTAGACCAAGAAAGAAAGAAAGAAAGAAAGAAAGGATTAAAACATCATGGATCACACACAAAAGAAGAGAGAGGATAGCCAAAATTATATTGAGGTCGCAGCAGCAAGAAGACAACAACAGTACGTCTTCCCCAACAAAGTAGCCTTCAACAGGAGTCGCACTACAATGACTCGGGGCCTTCTTTCTATTAGAGTTGCGAGCTTGTTGTAGTCGGTCCTGAGGGGAGAACCTTGTTGCGTAATTGCTATATCCCCGCGTTCTTGCACGACGCTTCATACAAATTTTCTTTTAATATAACTCGCTTGATTCTACTATTTATTTTTCATGTGTCGTTGTTAGTTATGAGAGGTTCATGAAATCTTAAAGCATAAAAGTTATTTTATTTTTAAATGAATTTTCTCTCCCTTTTTTTCCTTTACATAAACATTAAAGCTAAATATCATGTAGTTTGTTTGGTATATCTTTTAATTAAAAAAATCATTAATGTTAAGAAGTTTGATTTACAAAATTTAATTACAGTTATTCGTTAAATTATTTTTATTATTTATAGGAATTTTGGACCGCCTTTGTTAAATTTGAATCCCTCAACCGACCCAAAGAGTTGTACATATTTGTTTTTAAAGTTGCACATGATTTGTACATAATCAAACAATCTGTTTAAATACACAAATTTGTTTTTTAAAAAACAAAAAATATTGTTCCACACGATTCTTGAATGAAGAAAAAGTGTTGAATTGGTATTTAGTGATTAAATTCCTTTGATTAGTACCATGGCCAAGATTTTGTTCAAACTTCATATTCAACATGTCTCATAAGTAATATTTCAAATTGATTATCTCCTTCTTACGATCCCAATCCTCACCTCTTGACCGCCCAATCCCTGCCTTTTCATTCCCAATAACTTTTTTCTCTCTATTTTTTAATTTTTAATTGGACTTGATCATTTGTTCCATTCACGTCAAGTGTAGTTGACATTTTAGATCATTAACTTAATTATCAAGGATTCCATAGCTGATTTTTTTTTTTTTCCAATTATTATGGTTAAGCTGGATTTAGATTAATAGATTTCATTAAGTTTAATACTATTACAATTATTCTTTCACATTATTGAGAGAGTGAGGGAGAATATATTTTTCATTAATAATTGAGAATCAGTGAGCCTAAAAAATGGTGATGAGGATACAATTAGATCAGTCATCAATGAATTTTCCTCAAATATTCACATTGATGAAAGAAGTATCTTGAACAAGTAATGCATCATAGAATTAAATTATTATTTTGAAATGAAATATTGAGAGTAACATTGTTATTTTTCCAATTTACGTTGTAGGTTGTCTATAATCAATGACTGTTTCTCCAAGAATTCGGTGGAGGAAATTATTGAGTCATTTGTAAGAATTCATTTTTCTAATTACATGATATTTTTAAAATTTTGTACCACATTACATACAAAATTCAATTTTTAATGTATTTTTTGCTTTTAACTTTTCAGAAAGCTGAGGCAAACAGAAAAGGAAATGATTGAATTATGCCAGTACTTAAAAGCCTAAAGAAAGCATCTCCAACAGCACTAAAAATAACATTGAGATTGGTAATAAATCCTTTATCATGCCTATTGAACTAGAAAAATAGCTTTATCAAGCGCGCAAAATTTTATAAACGTTCAAAAAGAAATAGAATATCTTACCTTATTCCTAATATTTTTTTAAAATACGAGAAGGAAGGATACAAACTATATTTGAATGTCCGAGGAGAGAATTTAGAATTTCAATGAACATACAACGAACCATAATATATGGTGATTTTTATGAGGTAAATTTTCAACATTTTTAAAGTAAACTCAATCTTATGTACTTGATATGTAGAAGTACACTTAATTTTCGATTTCCAATTTAAAGTTCATTGACATTTTTATTTATGAAGGAAGGGCATAAGGGCTCACATAATTGACAAGGATAAGTCCCCAAAGGTATGCACCTTTTTTTCTTAAAATGCATAATACTTTAGTATATATTTCTGAGTATTGAATAATGTGCTTGATTATTAATATATTTCTGTTTCAATTATAAATAGTGGAACCCTTCAACTCTTGACAAAGTGCATGATGATCAACTTGACTTAATCTTCAAGCCATTTGAAGATCATGACTTGGAACTTCAAATTCCTGTTGATGAAGAAGAATTATACAGGTTTGAATATTGGAGTGATCATATATCAGTTGCATTTTATCCAACAATAGATTTTGCAATATTATTGTTTAATTAGTCATTAATGTTGCATTTGATCTAATAATTTAGAGGTGGAGAGGAAAATATGAAAATTCGAGCTGTTCTCGTCTCAACTAAGTGAAGAGTAGAGTTCCATCATCAAACAAAACGATTAGTCAAACAAAGTGACTCCTCTGACACAAAAAAGGTTGAACACTAAACGAAAAACCAACAACTAGACTATCATCTCCCTGAACGTCTCGTCCTGCATATCAAACAGAACAATCATCATATCACAAGACACTCCTCGTTTGCATTTATTAAGTTTTACTGACTTAATAAACATCCCAATATCTAGACAGATCATCAGAAAGGCATAAAAGTCCATTACAACTACCTATAATATTAAACTGACTTTCAAACGCATCAAATGGCACAACATCAAATTGAACATAATTATCAAAATTTTCATTGTCATAGAATAAAGCATACGTTTCTTTTACTGGTTCATGATGTACTAGCAAGTAATCATCATCTTTGTTGCTGTAGTTGAGGTGTATGGAGATAAAATTAGCGCAGTAATGAGAGAATACCATGATTTGCAGACGCTTGTGCACTCAATGATGGATTTTGTGGGTAATCTTAAAAGTATTTCAATCAATACCTCTTGCGGCAAATACTTAGTCTATGGATAAGATTATGACACGTATGTCCGTTAATATAAAAAAAAAGTATGTACACAACTATTTCTCAGTCATGTGGAGAGTGAGAAAAGAGTAACAGGGAAGAGGTAACTTCTGCTGAATACAACAAATGATGAACAAACTTCACCTTTACTAACTAATAGCAACTCAGTATATAGAAGATGAACAAAAATTTTGATCAAGAGGAAGAAGAATCGATATAACAAAAATGGAAAAACAAAACACATATTTTCCTTTCTGAAATACATGCTGAAATAACCTTCCGTTCATCCTTACGCGCTGTACAGTTGATCAAGTATCTTAAGTAAGAATAGGTTTCACTTCTCAAAGTCCCTTGTCAACTATATCTAGACAACAAGTTCCAAGCAAGCAAAGCAGCTCCGATGGCAGGTTCCACCTAATACCAAAGAGTTGAGAAAATGAGATGACCAATTAGTTGAGTGACATTGCTAGGCAGTGAGCCTAGTGATGTGCTCCGTTAGCAGAACCAGTTAAGATTTCGCACAATCCAGGATAGTGTTTTTGGTGAAGTGTCGCCTTTTTATTATTCAATAAGAAATTATATCGAGCATTACTGAGGAAAATATGCTTACCTTCGGACAAATAGGATGAACCCCCGGGAAGTCCTTGCATATACAGTTAACGACTTCTCTTCCTATATCCCATTTCTTGTTGGCTTCAAGAACACCTCCAACCATAACAAGAGGAAATGCATCATTTCCGTCTACAGAGAATTTAATTCAGAAATCAACTTGTTAGTCATGCCTGGAGACAATTTTGTGCAAGTGATGAGTAAGATAAGTTTGATGATGCAATAAAAAGGAACATTTTTGGGGAAAACAAAGAGCTTTTAATAATGAAGTCAACTAAGGCGCACAATTTTTTAGCACACTGGATTGCTGCTGAATAAGTAATAATGACTTCTCAAGCATGCTACATCTTGATAAATCTTAGTTAACCTAATAAATCACCCAGCAGTTTCAAATCCTAAATAATATATGACACAGAGTAAAGAAGAATTTTCTCCCAAGGTAGGGGTAAGGTCTGCGTACACCCCACGCTCTTCAGACCCACTTATGGGATCACACTGGTGTATTTATCCTGTATTGTCGTACCAACATATTCTGTTGATAATTTGCTTAGGACTTAGAGGGATTCTTTTGAAAACTCAAGTTATAGCTAATATTTAGCTTTAAAGATACAACTAAACAAATCATTTACTCCTAATATTTGATACCTCAAAAAGCAAAGCATATCCTAGTTCTTTCCCTTTAAAAAAAACTTTAAGGTGGCCTTGTTAACTTCCACATAAACTTGATGGAAGAAACACATTCCACTAGTTTGACATCAATTCTCAATCAGATGATATCATTCTCTACATTATTCAAAATCAATTGTATAATTGAGGAAGTCCATTATTTGAAAAAGTTAAAATTATAGAACCTGTAAACGTTTAGTATATGCAATCTCAAGAAGAAACTATAAAAGTGCAATTGCTTCAGATCACTACTATTCCTTTTTCCAGCACCACACTTCTCAACTATGAATCTTATAGGCACGTTCCAAGTCAAGCATAGAGTAGCAAAAGATTAAATCATGATTAAAGTTCTGTTTCATGTAAAATACTTCAGCAGAATTCACAGCAAAGTCATATTTTCAGAAGAAAACACATAAACTGATTTACCAAATTTTTAAGGCTAAGCTCAGTGCTTGGAGGTAATAAATATGGAGAGACTGATACAGATACATACAGAGATCTAGATATGGAAGATATCAAAACATTTTCATGTAACTGCAGCCCTAAAAGGCAAATCACTTAATCGATTAACAGCATACCTTTACCACACAACTGTAGTCTTCTAACAACAGCTTTAACACTCGAAGCTAATTCTTGAACAGCATTTTTCAATATCTTATTTGCTATTTCATCACCTCCCTCTGCACAAGTCACTACCACTGGAACAAGAGCCGCAATCCGAGCCCAAGATGGATCTGAATAGGTCCACCTGAAAATTAATGAAAAAATGTTCTGATCCAAAGAGCTCTTGTGCATACAAATCCGATAAGCCCCATGAAGGAACTACGAAAAACAATAGAAGTATCTAAACAGAAAAAACAAATCAAGAAGATCTAACTTAGTAGTTCAAGGTTTTACTATTATTCTCAAATAGAAGATTAGAGCAACTGCTTGTCAAGAGCATAAGTATATATACTGTATATATGTTACAAGAAATGATATATTCCTTCAGGACTATGCATAAATCAGTAAAGACACCCATGATGTAGGATGATGCAAGATATGAATGAAAATTTTATTCAGGCTAATGAAGACATGAGTATATATGGATGCATAAAAAATCAACCTAGAAGAGATAAGAGACTGCCATAGTTTCCCTATAATGAACGGATAAGTAAAAAGCATGATAACATTTTTATATTTTACTCAAAAGTCTCAAACAAGTTACTACAACGTTGCCTCCATGGTAGTGAAAACTTTGTTGATGAAGAATATTATCTCAGAGCATGCAGAGTCCTATTTAGAATCAATTTGCGACCTCTACTATATGTATCATATGTGCTTTGACCATGAAAAGATAATTCACCAAACACACAAAGCCCAAAGGACACATGAACTCCTTTCCCTGCTAGATAATTTTAAAGATGAGAAATGGTATTTTGATTAATCAAAAAATGGATTATATTTTAGACAGGGATAACTCATAATCAACATAAACATAAGCGTGCAAAGTTAATATATAATATCGTTATGCATATACACTATGATAACTGGTGAATGTTTTAAATATTGTTCCTTTGACATCCAAGGTGTCAAGTTCAAATGTGATCCCTATGCATTTAAAAAGGAAAACTCTTTGAAAATATGAGTAAAGTCCACAAATGTGCATGGATCTTTTCATTAACAAATTTTGACGATGAACTACTGTTTGTTCATGTCTTTGAGGAAGTAAATTGTTTAAAAGAACAACTGACGCATAAGAAAAGTTGATGAGATTAGTGATTCAAGTTTCGATGAAGTACCCAATAAGCTCATCAGGAGAAGAAAGATCCAGCTTCCTTAGAATACTTGGCGTAAGTGCAGTGTATGGACCACGACCATCATAGGCTCTAACTGCAGCAGTCAATGCCTGTGCAGCTATACCATATCCACTGCATGTGAACAAGAAATAGATCCTTCAAAGTTAACCAAAACAAAGAAAAAGTACAACAATCAAAAGATTTAAAAAGCCATTGCTGCCTAAGTAAATCAACAGGACAAATTCAGAAAAAAAAAATTGTCTCAAACAGGATCAAAACAAAACGTGTACTACAGAGCCAGGTAGTTTTTTTTTTTTATAATGACAGAGCCAGGTAGTTTGAAACAGCATAAAATGGAAACTTAAAATGACAAGGTAATGGAATCTGGTATGAGGTTTGGAAGATCAAAGATGTAACCAAACAGATAACTTCCAGTAGGAATTCTTTAAGCTTAAATATGAAACAGCAGAAAATTAGGGGGGAAATCTTCAGATGTAAGTGCCCATTTTGTCAGCCAAATATCTCAAATGAAGCATCATCAGCAACAACTTTTATTAGCTCTCTAACGTTCACAGTAGACAATGAACTTGTGAAATGCGGGAGAAGAAGCCAGAAGGATGAAATATCACTTTAAATCCTAAAAATAAGACGATTAATGCAGTGAAGCCGTGCAATGCATACCTTCCCCAATCTCCTAATACAGGCCCAGCACCAGCAGCTCTAGCATCTCTCCCATCTTCAGTGAAACCATAAGCAATTGTTCCTGTACCAGCAATAAGGACACAACCATGAAGCTTTCCCATTGTTCCACTTGCAAGAGCTGCAACAGCATCATTCTGAACAAAGAATTGGACATGGCTGGGGAATATATCTCTACAAGAAATTAAGGGAAAGGAATTTAGGGGAAAGAAATATACCAAAGTAAATATGAAGTCAAAGAAGAGAAAAATAATGAAATATAGCAGATAAACAGCAGTGCGATGAACCCAAATAACGAGCACTGACAAATTCAGAAGACGGGAAGGAAAATGAAAGAAACTCTCCAGTGATAACTCACTAGATGATGTGCCAAATGGTGACACATGGAGTCAAGTCTTCAATCACCATGTAAGAAGGATAAAGGGAAATACAATTCATCTTCAATGGCTAGAAAGAGAATTTTCATTAAAGATCATATAATAATTTTCAAATTTTCCAACCATTTCGAACAGTCTTGGTACAATTGGGTATTCCAATAGAGCAGTATCTCATCTCTAATGGCACTTCATTTCACCTCATAGCAGCAGAGGCACACTAGGAACACAGCATATAGAAACTAGCCACTAGTGCTGAACACACACAATAAAAGTAAGCACATGAAAATTTTGATATGGGAAGACAATAAGAAAGTGTCAATTTTTTAAACATACCTAAGCCAGTTCATTATTCGTTCTATATCTGTTGGATGGTTGACTCCAGAGACAGCCAAACAAACAGCTTGCACACAAAAACGTGCTGAGCCTGCTTTTGAAAGAGCATCAGCCATGACTAGCTCTAAAGCATCCCTCGCGGCGCTTTCTGTAAAAGGGTTTTTATTAAGAACTATGGCCAGTAGAGAACTGATCCTTAAATTAAGTAGAAAAAATTAGAACAGACAACAGTTCCTGTCACATATCCTCGCAATAGTCCACATAGAGAACTCAAAAATATTTATCTTCTACTAAAGCTAACTGTTTTCCTCCCAAAAACATTTATCACCGGTTATTTATCAAAATACATCTCGCACTGTTTGGATACCATTGCCAAAAGGCACCAACTTAATTTGCCATAAATTTTAGCTAGTTGTTGATAGTTTAGGTAGTTATCGCAAACAATAATAGTTCAAATAGAAAACTCGCAAAAACGTGCAAAAGGAAATACCTCCTACGCTATTGTGATTGGAGCATCCAGCAACTGCTCGTGAGAGAATAGGAGGAGGGTCGGGTAAATCATCAGCAAAAGGGATAAGAGGCATACAAACACAAACAGTACAAGTGGTATCACCATCCAATCCCAATATGACTTCTCTCTGATCACAAAACCCATCTCCAAGAAGCTGCATTTCTTCCTCAAAATCCCATATTTCTCCATTCCTATACCTCTTCATTTTCCAGTCAAGAATTCCCAGTAAAATTGGCAGGTGAAATGGGGGTTCCTGAAGCTGAAGAAAAAGAAGGAAAAAACCCATATTTTAATTTGTTTAGTAGAATCCATCGATTGAATAGAATATTGGGACGGCAACGAAAAGACAAGTGCTAAGAAGGGGCGTAAGAAATTGACGGATGTTTTCGTATTGGGTCTTTGTAGGGATTAAAAAAGATTGATTTGTTGGACTAGCGTTTTGTAGCTTTTGGTTTTCATACAAGGACTGCAGAGTGAAGAAAGCTCCACAACTTTCTTTATTCGCCATTTCCACCATTTCTCTTTGTATCTTTCTCTTATTTCTTAGTCCCATTTTATAATCTTCCCATTTTCGATAATCCATTGTCCGTTTCTTGTTTAATACGTGTCATCCACACTCTCGTATTTAAGGAATCATTAATAACCTGAAATTATGTAATATCTCATCTTTATCATCAATATCATATCTTATCACATCTCTTCGAGAAAAGACATAAAGAGACCATCGAAATTGTCCCATATTTGCATAAAGATACCTAAACTTTTGAAGTATCCTATCACACCACTAAACAACTATATAGCGTTGTAAATTGGCCATTTTTACCCATTAACTCATCTGGGTTGTTTACACGCACGTTAGGCGCGTGATGGGTCATTTTTCCTTTTTATTTACCACTTAAAAACAGCCACATGTCATTTTCTTTCTTTAATATTAATTATTTAATCAATTTTTGTTTCTTCCCCAATTTAAACTCAAAAAATGGCCGTTGGTAGCCCTAACAATTTGATTTCCATGGCAAGAACAATATTGTTACTCTCTTTTTGACGACTTCTTCATCTTCCTCAAGAAAATAAGGTAGGAATTCGTCTTTTCTCTTTTAATTTCCCGTATAAACGTTAATTTGAAGTTTTTTTATGGTTGAATTTCTTCTCAATTTTGTAGTTAGTTTTTGATTGAAAATGTCAAATGCAATGTTGAATCATATTTGTAATGATGAGAATGATCTGATGTTGCGAGTGAAACTGCGATGCAAACATGATGACTTACTATCAATTAAATTAGATAATAATTGATTTTTAATTAAATATAATTTAATTTGATATGGCTATAACTCAAAAATAATCTGCTATAAGTAAGAATTTTTTAAAATTATATTTATAATCAGATATATATAATTTTAAATATGCTATTTTTATTTTATATTATAGATATACAATTGCAAGTATGGCCCAATGTGTTTTGCTATGTAAACATATGTACTACTATTATATTATAGATATAAATCGTAAGTAAATTTAAGTGGGCCCAAAGTTTTCTACTCTGTAAAAATATGTACCCCTGTAAGAAAGAAATAAATTGCAAGTAAATTTAAGTGAACGGTCGGGTCGGGTTCTCTACGTGAGCAACACGCGCAATAAAAAGAAGATGGAATGACTAAAAATGGCCAATTTACAACGATATATAGTTGTTTAGTGGTGTGATAGGACACTTCAAAAGTTTAGGTGTCTTTATGCAAATATGGGACAACTTCGATGGTCTCTTTATGTCTTTTCTCCATCTCTTCTCAAACTTACATCTGCCTCTCTTAGTAGCCTCTATAACTAATTTTCCGCACCTTTTATTGAGATGTGTCTATGCATATCTCTCTTTACATATCTAAATCATCTAAGTCCCGCTTCTCTTATCTTGTTTATCGCGAAAGCCACACTTATCTTGTCTTGAATATTCTCTTTTGTAATTTTATCACTCCTAGTATGACCATACATTCACCTCATCTTCGCAACATGTATCTTCTAGATATGAAAGCTTTTGATTGACCAACACTTAGTCTTATACATCAATATTAATTTAACCACCACTCACAAAACACAAGAAGTTACCTTTGAGTTTTAAGCACTTTTAGAGTATTTGAATAAATTTAAAAGTGCTTAATTAAAAACACTTATATTAAATTAAAATGATAAAAATAAGTCAAAATTTATCCGTTGGGTTTTCTAACTTAAAGTCAAAAGTCAATCCTTATTTAAACACATATTGAGTTGGCATTTAAATCGTATCATATCTAAAATTTAGGACTGTTCTGAGGAGATTTTGAGTTGTCAGAAATTTAAAAACTCTATTAGCTATATATATATATATATATATGCACTCAACATTGAACTTTCAGAAAATACTTATTTATGTCATCAGTTAAAAGTTTGGCTCATCTATGCCATTACCGTTCAAAAATATGCTCATTCATGCCATTATTTTTTAATATTGATTTTGCAAAATCATTTTTGACACGTGACCAATTGTAATTACGCCACGTCATCAATTTTTTAAATAAAAAAAGTCAATGTTTTGGAAAAAAAATTGAATTAATTTTTTTGATTTTTTTATTGAAAAAATTGATGATGTGGATTATAATTGGCCACATTATCAATTTTTTAAACAAAAAAATGAAAATCTGAATAAAAATTGAATTATTTTTTAAAAATATCTTTTTTATCAAAAAAAAATTAATGACGTGGCTGAATTACAATTGGTCACGTGTCAAAAATGGTTTTGCAAAACCATTGTTAAACAACAACGGCATGAATGAGTCTTTTCTTTAACAGTAATGACATAAATGAGTCAAACTTTTAACTGATGACATAAATAAGCCTTTTCTGAAAGTTCAATGACATATATGAGTTTTATCCCTGTATAGCGTATACATTACTAATAGACATAATACATATATTGGACCCTAAACTTGGCTTCAAATTTTAACTTTTACCTCCAACTTTCATATGCACAAACAGACACTTTAACTATCCAACTTTTAAATAAACAAACACATGAGTCCTACATGACATAATACACGTAGCACACCACGTAGGACAAAAAATGACATGTAGGATTACATGTCGGACATGTGTGTCTATTTGTTCAACTTTATAGAAGTTTAAGTGTCTATTTGTGCATAAATATGATTTAAAACCAAGTTAAAGGACATATTTATGTATTATGCCTTGCTAATATATCCTTATTCATATACAAATATATACTATATTTTGATAATATCAATACCATTGTTGATTTTCTTTTGTCACCTAAGAAGCCCTAAAAGATAAAATGTTGTAACAAACATATCCAAGCCCAGCCCAAAATTTGTTGGGCTTATTTGAACTATAATGACTCAAGCAAGTGCAGCCCTATCTATTGTCCATTCAGAATGCGAAACAACCCCAGCCCAGTTATCTATGGATCTTGGACTCTACTTTTAGCTAACTTCTCTTCCTCTTCTTAAACCCTTCACAAAATACACCAAAACCCCCTTTTGATCCCAAAACCCCTTTTGCTCCAAAATATCTCTACAGCCTCTGCTTTCCAGAGCCAAAGTATCGGACCCCTCAACCGCCTTCCATATTTTGCTGGGTTAAGTCAGTTGCTTCTTTCGTCTTTTTCATAAACCCTTCTATACCATTTTGTTGATCTCTTCTCTGTTGGCATATTTGAAGAATGAATAGTTTTGTTCTATTGAAGAAGTCTTCTTCTTTACATGCCTCGAAAAGGGTTGCTCTTAATGCCCTTACTCATCTATTCTTCTCGCCGTCGACGTCCGGCGAAGACAAGTTCATTTCGGGAAATACTCAATTCAACAGCTTTACCACTGTTAGTACGGCTAATACTTCGACAAATGGAAACTGGGTTGATAGGAAATTTGGGGTTTCTGTAAGAGGGTTTCATTCAGGTCGGTATTTACGAGCTGGATATGCAGTGGCGAATTTACCTGAGGATGATGAAGGACTTGAGATATCAAAACTTGGTATATCTCAGGAGATCGTTTCTGCTTTGGAGAAAAAGGGAATTACTAAGCTCTTTCCTATTCAGGTTATCCCTCAAAGCAACTATCATTTCTATTTGGACACAATTGTATCTTTTTCAGCTTTTAGGGTGCTTTGGTGTTTTACCTAATGTTACTTAGGTATAAAATTAAGTGATATATGGTAATCCTACTGTTTTAAGGAAGATTGTCAATGGGTTGATTGAATCGAGTTATATGAATATATGTTCATTGGAGAAAACATTTTTCCAATACCAAACAAAGGTGTAATGTGTTCCTGGAAGTCTTTTGTTGTTGAAGACATGAAGTTAAATATTCTCTTGGTTTGAGTAACTGAGGGTTGTATCATTTACTCCCGTGAGGTGTCGGCTAGCTTTTTCACAAGGCAGTTGACATTCTTATAAAGGCGTGAGGGTGAGGTTGGTCCGCTAGCTTTTGTAACGAGGAAGTTGCATTTTTCTAAAGGCGCAACTCATCTATTTTCATGCTACCTTCCACCAATACAGTTACTATACAATTTTGACAAAGGCTTAAGCTGGTGGGAAGTAATCATTTAAATTTTATTGTGGTTGCTAGAGTCTTAACCTTGGCCCTCTGAGGTTTTCAATCCTTCATTGACTGCTAGGAATTTTGTTTGAGACTTGGAACAGATGGGAAGAAACACTTGGTTTTATTGTCTCTGCTAGAATTTTAACCTTTGTCCTCAATGTTTTGATCACTTCATCTGCCACTAGGTCGCACCATTAGTTGCCTAATACGATGCTTAATATATCAAGGTTTTCGATCACTTCATTTGCCACTAGTTACCTAATACAATGCTAAGTATGTCAAGATTTTCTACTTTGAAGTCCCGTTTAGAATGATCTGTCCACTTGTGTTTTAGTTGGTGAAATGAGCTTAATTTAGTCATGTACAGTATGTTTTAATGCATAGCCTTAGGTTAATTTCTTCACGAGATGCAAGGCAAAGAGAGGCATGACTTTAATTTTCTTTTGGGTTGTGCAGAGAGCTGTTCTGGAACCAGCAATGCAAGGATCTGACATGATAGGTCGAGCTAGAACTGGAACTGGGAAGACACTAGCTTTTGGGATTCCCATCATGGATAAGATCATTCGCTTCAATGAGAAACATGGGTTTGTCCAGTCTGCTTTCTCTCTGGGCTTTTATAGTTTTAGTAGTGCAAATATGATAGCAGCATTATGTAATGTTTTTTCATCTGCTAGGCTTGGCAACTTTATTAAAGTTTGATTCTGAATATTTGTTGCGAATTTTGACCTAATTACAGTTGTAAAATACTAACAATGTGTTTATTCTCTATAATGTAGACGTGGAAGGAATCCTTTGGCTTTAATCTTGGCGCCTACCAGAGAACTTGCTAAACAAGTGGATAAAGAATTTTTTGAATCTGCTCCTGGTCTGGATACGCTGTGTGTTTATGGTGGTGTTCCCATTTCACGCCAAATGAGTTCCCTGGACAGGGGAGTTGATGTTGTTGTGGGAACGCCAGGTCGGATTATTGATCTGCTGAAGAGGGGTGCTTTGAATTTGGCAGAAATCCAGT